AATTGAAGTAAATCTGAACACATACCCTATTTGCACCCACTTCAGAACCATTATGAGCAATAAATTGCTACTAACATGGACACCTTGCTCATCTTACCTATCCAGTCATATTTAAATTAATCAGACTCTGAATTTCTATTTTTGTGTGACTGAACCACAGTTTAGGGATTTACCAGTTAAGTAATTGAAGTAAATCTGAACACATACCCTATTTGCACCCACTTCAGAACCATTATGAGCAATAAATTGCTACTAACATGGACACCTTGCTCATCTTACCTATCCAGTCATATTTAAATTAATCAGACTCTGAATTTCTATTTTTGTGTGACTGAACCACAGTTTAGGGATTTACCAGTTAATAATATACCGTAGTCATACTGTAACGATACTATGCATAAAAGTGACAAAGATGAAAAATTAATTATTCTTTTCATTTAAATATTATTAACATAACTGTAGATTAATGTAATTTGTCTATTTTACATTATTTAATAATTTGTTTTATGTTTATCATTTACAAAGTGATGTATTACGGGTTAATGAGGTTAATGGGCTCAATGGGGTTAAAGCAAAACAATAATTGAGGTTTAAATTAATTGAAGTAAATCTGAACACATACCCTATTTGCACCCACTTCAGAACCATTATGAGCAATAAATTGCTACTAACATGGACACCTTGCTCATCTTACCTATCCAGTCATATTTAAATTAATCAGACTCTGAATTTCTATTTTTGTGTGACTGAACCACAGTTTAGGGATTTACCAGATAAGATCGTTTATTAAATATTTTTATTAATTATTTGACAGATTTTTTACCTGATTTACAAGTGTAATTGTATTACCTTATTTGTAACTGTCAAAAAGTGGTTACTTTTACAAATCCAGTGCTCGTACTGCTATATCTATTGAACCCACAATAAGTGTAATTTTATTAAATAATTATGAATTTAAAATTCATTTTGAGCAAGAAATGAGCATCATTTTTTCATTTTTAAAAATCAAACATAATTGATGTTTGTGCTCAAATAATTAATCTATGGTCAGTTTGAAATGTTTGATCTACTCATTCGGTGACACATTTGATAAATAAATGAAAACGTGAAAAGTATTAACACAGCGTTTCGTTTATTTCGTGCAAACCCTTTGATTTTTAACAGTTATATTCAGAAGTGAGAGAAAGTAAGAGATGGACAGAGAAAGCGCCGGTCATATCAACGTTACCCTCAAATTCTGTCCGGAATGGTATGTATATAACAAAAATGTTTTTATAATCAGCATTATAATTTTTAACCGAGATCATTTTTTGCAACCAATTTTTTCATAGCAATAACATACTGTATTCGCGCGAACACAGGGCCACTAAAAGACTAATATTCCTGGTAAATGATAAACATGATATTAAGACCCTGGTTAGATTTATTTAGCTTTGATTTGATTGTATGATTAGTGCCGGACGTGTCTCTACCAGAAGGAAACCAATGCCAGCCATAGTTGCGTTTACGTCAATAATATTAAACACGAAGTCAAGTAATAAACGCAAAAATTCATTACAAAATAATACATTATTTGAATGAATGGACACAAATAGGGGAGAGTTTGATTCATACGTGAATTAAATGCTTCAATGCTTTTTACACGTGCTGACAATTATTACTATTGATTATTAAATGCATTTAATATTAAAAGTGATTAAATACATAGTAGTCGTATAAGTTGTTCACATTGTCATCCACTCATTCATATAGATTTTATCTCAAATACTGTACTCATAATATCTATTAATAGTAATAATTTGTAAATATTAAATGAGTACTAATAACTTGGTTTGTTGTGTTTTGTCAGTGAATTGGCGCACATAAACAGTGAGATGATCGCTGACCCGACTCTGGCCCGGACTCAACTGCATCCCTGTCCTAAGTGTAAGCACAACGAAGCCGTGTTTATGCAGGGATTGCTCACTAAATCAGTCGATGCCATGCGATTGTATTACATCTGCACTAATAATAATTGCCGATTCAAATGGACTGAATAGTGTGTGTATACTATGAATGTCTTAATTGGATTACCCGGCTATTAGTTTCGATCCGTTTGCTATTGTAATAACCATTTAATAAATTCCGTTTAAATCCCTCTAATCCCATTTAATTTGCAGTTAATTTTTGTTTTGTTTTTATTATAACGCTATAAATATTTGATGTAATTAATTATCTATAAATGAAATAATAATACATGTTGTTTAGGTTTCCCAATTACTCGTTTAGGTTAATGTATTGTTTTTATTTAATAAAAATTGTCTTATCATAAGTTTCGTTAGTTTATGTTGTGTTTATCTGTATTCGCAGACTCTTTGGAAAATATTCCTGTAATTCAATAAAAATGTTATTTCGCTAAACGGTTACAACTTTGCGATTATTGAATTGCGAGGGAAAGAGATGTTTGAAAAATATATTATAATTTATAGTTAGATTGAAATGATTGATATAACTGAATCACAGTTGATAGAATCTGCCAGGTAGATTTATATAAAATTTCAGTGAATACATTCAATATGATACAATAGTGACTAAATACTGTGACTTGAATTCAATTACCATAAAGTATTTTGGGTACTTTAGCTACTATTTGGTACATTATCACAAGAATTTCTTTTCAAATATGAAATAAACAATTTTATTGCTATTTATTACAATTAACGCAATTATGATCTAATATGTGGTAAATATACAATTGATTTATTTATAATCATATTGTGATTCACAAAATAAATAATGCTATGATTAATAAATATTGTAATAATAAATATGATTATTATTTATCACATTGAATTTAATTTAACCATTCATTTGCTTATACAGTAGACGTCAAACCAATTGCTTAATTGCTTTGAAAATCAATTGCACACAAATTATTTAATAATCCTTATTGTCTGAGATTTGTATAAATAGTTGAAACTATACAATATTTACAGTACATACGGCTAATCAACGATAATTGCTGTTAATTATATAACTATTAGATAATACGTTTTCTGCACAAGTTTTGAATAAATTATTATTTTTACCAAATCATGAATACAAATACAAATAGTTTTTCAATGTATTTAATAATGCAGTATTTAAACAGTTGCGCTTCGGGTAGGGCTAACACACTATTAACCCAATAAATGATTAAATATATAAGTTAGTATTATAAATTATAATAAAACATGTTAACAATTATAGATATTGTTTGTCAACTGTCTGGTGATCCGGGTTTTACGAGCGATAGTTTGGCGAGATTTGCGGACTCCGGCTCTCATTTAAATAGTGATTGATTGGCATAAACTACACGTAATTTAATATATTAATTGCCAAATATATTGATTGATTGTATGGCTATTAGCAACCATTTATAACATTTTTCACCATCAATTCATTATTGTAAAAACAATACAATCAGATTTACATTAAATGTTTGTTTAATTATAGAAATGTTATGCATTAGTATTATATTAATAGTTGATTATATTAAAATTAATGTATTTTATCATTTGAATCAATAAAGGAGTTTTTAATTAAATTATAAATTGATAACTTTTTATAATAATTATATAATTATTGTGAAACAAATGAATATTATATACCAAATAAAGCACAAAACATTAGATAAGAAACTTTGTAATCAACATATAAACCATTTCCTTCGTAACAAATGAGGTTTTAATTAAAAACAAAAATCACAATTAGAGATAAAAGACACACATTAAACAAATTGATTGCAAAATAACAATATTTGAAATTATAAGTACATTATATATTAGACAACATTTTCCGTGACTATAATGTATTGTGTATTTGTCTCACATATTAATTGCAAATATAAATCACAACCAATTCAGTGGACAGAAGAGAAAGAAAAGCGTGTAATGAATAGATGTTTGGCGAAAATAAATTCAATTGAATGCTATAATAAAGTGATTTTTCTTTTATATAAATTGTATATATTTTGTTGATTTTTTATTGAATTTCATCCAATTTTGTTTCTCAAAACCAAACACTTGACCATTAAATGATTTTTACCTGTATTTACTATTTGTTAACGCATTCAAAAAGTATTAACATTTATATTGAATGCATTGTCTGGTATTGATATAAATCAGGATTTTGTTGTATTTCATATGCGGTACTGAAGACCAACAATTGATCGGTTGATTGGTTACCACTTCAAGTATTCTCAACTCAAAGCACTTTTAATGATAACAAATCAATACAATTATTTTTAATCATTAAATATTGTATAATATTTTGTAACGTTTTTGTAAATTATTATTTAATTAAAAACTGTAAATTCAATGAAATAATATTTATAAATAGCATTTTAACAATATTTTTCAAAGCAAATAAATTATATAATAGATATACAATTAATGAGTGAAGTTATGCAAAACAATTGGAGATAAATATTTGTTCAAATCCATACTTTTAACATTAAATTTAGTGATAAGATTTCATTATTTGGTAAGTATTGTAAAAACTGATTGCAATAATTGATAAAATGCTGATTCAGCAAAATTGCAAACTTTTCTATGAGTTTAAGTGGGAGACAAATGTAAAAAAGTTCAAATGGTTTGACCAAATCATGATAATTACTGTATTGTATATAAATAAATGTACAATATATTGATAATAAAATTGTTTTTGAAGAGTAATTTCATAATAGGAGTGTCGTGTGAAGTTCCAGACTATTGATTATTAAATGATGATAAAATAGCAATTTTATATGATGATAAATTCACATTTTTAGACATTGACGTTAATAGTTAAGCCGTATATAAGGCCAGTCCTGAAAGTCTGTCAAATTCAATAACTAGTGTTTGTCTACAAAAGTACTTCAAAAATCATTTTTATATATTAATTCAAATTCTTTTGAATTTTAAGTGAAATATTTTATATTTAATATTTTCAAAATGAAATTCTCTAAATATTTTATGGTTATTCAATACATGAATAATTGTGCTTCAGGTATGGTATCATCAGTTGTATAAATATATTAGTTTTCTATATATAAACTATTTTGGTATCACATAAAAATTATATGTTTACATTTAGTGAATTTGTTGAATAATTTGTATAATTATTAAATTACCATATCTAATATTAGACTATCAGAATATATTACAAACCAATATACAAAATTTTAATTAGATTTATTTTTAAAATTTAAATTATTCTCTACCTTGTTAAGTATACTAAATGCTACCAATTTATGTTAATTTGTTGCTAAATTCAAGCATAACATATTTATTATTATCTAATTAACTTTTTATATTATGCTTTATTAGACAATTCATTAGCTTTAAACATATAATTAAAAATACTAAATTAAAACAACATTTATAGAGAATTTTATATAAATTTATTTTTAACTCTAATTAAATTCTATCTCAACTGTAATATCAAATATAACTTAATGATTGAATTTATATTTTGTTAATTATCCATTAAGAAGATCATAAGATATTTGAATGGTGTTAAATAATTATTTTATTATTTGTTTGATTTATTTAATATGCAGATATAGTTTCATCACTATTTGCTGATCCGGCCTTTGCTGTGGATAATTGGATGGATAACATGTCAGGACATGATTACACACAAAACCGCAATTAGATTCCCAGTCTTGAGACATCATTCAATGGTATCAATTGATTGAATTCCTATCATCTAATGTGGGAAAGTGGTGGTGGTAACTTTGATAACCAAGTCATACCACGATAAATCATTTAATTGTAAAATACATCACTATGTCATTAATTTAACGTTTATATAATGCCAATTATAATCAATAAAATAACATAAATCGATATGGTACGAAAATATAATATTTGTGCTTAATCTTATCTGGTACAGTAATGAAAATATTATTTCTTGTTTTTTTATATAATACTGTATTTGTGATATAAATTGATTGTGATTTTAAATGTTAGATATACACCACAAATATAGTTATAAATTATAATCCTAATCTCAAGTGTTTGTATCAACAGTTAAAAGCTATAGATTAAGTATTTTTTGAGTAAATTAATTGATCCTAAGATTAGTTTAGATTTTGAATTGAAAGCAGAAATAAATACCCTGTTTAAAGACACAACTTTAATCAAATCTAATAAAACATTTGATATATGTTTTAAGTGCATATAAAACATTAATTTTGTTATTCCTTTGAGTTTTCTATAAATTTTAAATTATTTTATGATTTTATTTACAATAAATATTTAAATAAATTTTTTATAATTTGTTTTAAAACTATAAGTTATTGTATATTTATGTAAAAAATCTTACATTTACAATATTAATAGTTATATTTATCCATTATTGATATTATTTATACTGTAGTTATAATATTTATAAATTAAAATTATTTTAGCATTTAAAAATATACATGTAAATTTTGTTCAACTATAATTATAAATTTTTATTGCTATTTGTATAATTAAATTATTTATAACTATTTATAATTACTAGTTGTGCAAAGATATCAAATATATGATTATCATTCATTTTTCAATTTACTAAAGCCCTGTCCCATACTGTGAAGGTTTGACTGTTTTGATAGGCATTCAATTAAAGGGAATTTTAAAATAAAAATTACCCTATACAATTATTATATATTACTATCTTACATGTATACGTCAACTAAAATAAAAAGGGGTTTTATTATTGTCTGTATTCACTATTAAATAAAATAGAAAATGTATTTTAAATTATAATTGGTATTAATATGTATTGTATTCAACATTATTTTGTTGTTTTGTATTTCTATCACAAAATCCAAAATCAAAGGAAGAAATGTTGCCGTTTTCTCAATTGGCAATAATCAAGGATAAGAAACGAGTTATTTATAGAGTATTATTATTTTCAAGTATTTTTATTTATAAAAAGTTATAAAATTATTACTTTTTGTTTTTGTTGGAATAATTTTTAGAAGGAGAGAGAGAGAGAGAGAGAGAGAGAGAGAG